GCCCCATGGTGCTCCTTTCACCTCCACCTAGGGGCCTCTGACTCCAGCAAGCTACCTAGGGGTCCACCTCTCTCCCTGGACTTGCAGTAGGGGCCCCAGGTTGCCCCCTGGCCTTCTACCTAGGGGCCTCTGACCCCAGCAAGCTACCCAGGGGTCTACCTCTTTCCCTGGACTTAAAGTATAGGCCTTAGGGTGCCCCCTGGCCCTCCAACTAGGGGCCTCTGACCCCAGCATGCTACCCAGGGGTCCACCTCTCTCCCTGGACTTGCAGCATAGGCCCCAGGGTGAGCCCTGGCCCTCCACCTAGGGGCCTTTGACCCCAGCAAGCCACCCATGCGTCCACATCCCTCTCTGGACTTGCAGTAGAGGCCCCAGGGTGCCCCCTGGGCTTCTACCTAGGGGACTCTGACCCCAGCAAGCTACCCAGGGGTCCACCTCTCTCCCTGGACTTGCAATAGAGGCCGCAGGCTGCCGACAGGCCCTCCACCTAGGGGCCTCTGACCCCTGCATGTTACCTAGGGGTCCACAACTCTCCCTGGACTTGCAGTAGAGGCCCCAGGGTGCCCCCTGGCCCTCCACATATTGGCCTCAGACGCCTGCAAGCTACCCAGGGGTCCACCTCTCTCCTTGGACTTGCAGTATAGGCCCCGGGTTGCCCCCTGGCCCTCCACCTAGGGGCCTCTGACCACAGCAAGTTACTCAGGGGTCCACCTCTCCCCCTGGACTTGCAGTAGGGGCCCCAGGGTGCCCCCTGGCCTTCTACATAGGGGCCTCTGACCCCAGCAAGCTACCCAGGGGTCTACCTCTTTCCCTGGACATAAAGTATAGGCCTTAGGGTGCCCCCTGGCCCTCCAACTAGGGGCCTCTGACCCCAGCATGCTACCCAGGGGTCCACCTCTCTCCCTGGACTTGCAGCATAGGCCCCAGGGTGAGCCCTGGCCTTCCACCTAGGGGCCTTTGACCCCAGCAAGCCACCCAGGCGTCCACATCCCTCTCTGGACTTGCAGAAATAGGCCCCAGGGTGCCCCCTTGCCCTCCACCTAGGGGTCTCAGACCCCAGCAAGCTACCCAGGGGTCCACCTCTCTCCCTGGACTTGCACTTTAGGCCCCAGGGTGCCCCCTTGCCCTCCCTCTAGAAGTCTCTGACCAAAGCAAGCTACCCAGGGGTCCACCTCTCTCCCTGGACTTGCAGTATAGGCCCCAGGGTGCCCCCTTGCCCTCCAGCTAGGGGTCTCTTACATAAGCAAGCTACCCAGGGGTCCATATCTCTCCCTGGGTTTGTAGTATAGGCCCCATAGTGCCCCCTTGCCCTCCACCTAGAGGCCTCTGACCCCAGCAAGCTACCCAGGGGTCCACTTCTCTCCCTGGACTTGCAGTTTAGGCCCCAGGGTGCCTCCTTTCCCTCCACCTACGGGCCTCTGACTCCAGCAAGCTACCTAGGGGTCCACCTCTCTCCCTGGACTTGCAGTATAGGTCCGAGGGTGCCCCCTTGCCCTCCACCTAGAAGTCTCTGACCAAAGCAAGCTACCCAGGGGACCAACCTCTCTCCCTGGTCTTGCAGTATAGGCCCCAGGGTGCCCCCTTGCCCTCCACCCAGGGGTCTCTGACCCCAGCAAGCTACCCAGAGGTCCACATCTCTCCCTAGACTTGCAGTATAGGCCCCAGGGTGCCCCCTTGCCCTCCACCTAGGGGTCTCTGACCAAAGCAAGCTACCCAGGGGTCCACCTCTCTCCCTGGACTTGCAGTAAAGGCCCCAGGGTGCCCCCTTGCCTTCCACCTAGGGTTCTCTGACCCCAGCAAGTTACACAGGGGTCCACCTCTCTCCCTAGACTTGCAGTATAGGCCCCAGGGTGCCCCTTTGCCCTCCACCTAGGGGTCTCTGACCAAAGCAAGCTACCCAGGGGTCCACCTCTTTCCCTGGACTTGCAATATAGGCCCCAGGGTGCCCCCTTGCCCTCCACCCAGGGGTCTCTGACCCTAGCAAGCTGCCCAGGGGTCCAACTCTCTCCCTGGACTTGCAGTTTAGGACCCAGGGTCCCCCTTGCCCTCCACCCAGGGGTCTCTGACCCTAGCAAGCTGCCCAGGGGTCCTACTCTCTCCCTGGACTTGCAGTTTAGGACCCAGGGTCCCCCTTGCCCTCCACCTAGGGGCCTCTGAATACAGCAAGCTACCTAGGGGTCCACCTCTCTCCCTGGACTTGCAGTATAGGCCCCAGGGTGCCCCCTTGCCCTCCACCTAGGGGTCTCTTACCCCAGCAAGCTGTCCAGGGGTCTACCTCTCTCCTTGGACTTGCAGTATAGGCCCAGGGTGCCCCCTTGCCCTCCACCTAGGGGTCTCTGACCCCAGCAAGCTACCCAAGGGTCCACCTCTCTTCCTGGACTTGCAGTGTAGGCCCCAGTGTGCCCCCTTGCCCTCCACCTAGGGGTCTCTGACCGCAGCAAGCTACCCAGGGGTCCACCTCTCTTCCTGGACTTGCAGTGTAGGCCCCAGTGTGCCCCCTTGCCCTCCACCTAGGGGTCTCTGACCGCAGCAAGCTACCCAGGGGTCCACCTCTCTTCCTGGACTTGCAGTGTAGGCCCCAGTGTGCCCCCTTTCTCTCCACTTAGGAGCCTCTGACTCCAGCAAGCTACCTAGGGGTCCACTTCTCTCCCTGGACTTGCAGTATAGGCCCCAGGGTGCCCCCTTGCCCTCCACCTAGAGGCCTCTGACCAAAGCAAGCTACCCAGGGGTCCACCTCTCTCCCTGGACTTGCATTATAGGCCCCAGGGTGCCCCCTTGCCCTCCACCTAAGAGTCTCTGATCCCAGCAAGCTACAAAGGGGTCTACTTCTCTCCCTGGACTTGCAGTATAGGCCCCAGGGTGCCCCCTTGCGCTCCATCTAGGGGTCTCTGACCCCAGCAAGCTACCCAGGGGTCCACTTCTCTCCCTGGACTTGCAGAATAGGCCTAGGGTGCCCCCTTGCCCTCCACCTAGGGGTCTCTGACCCCAGCAAGCTACCCAGGGGTCCACCTCTCTCCCTGGACTTGCAGTGTAGGCCCCAGGGTGCCCCATTTCCGTCCAACTAGGGGCCTCTGACTCCAGCAAGCTACGTAGGGGTCCACTTCTCTCCCTGGACTTGCAGTATAGGCCCCAGGGTGCCCCCTTGCCCTCCACCTAGGGGTCTCTGACCGCAGCAAGCTACCCAGGGGTCCACCTCTCTCCCTGGACTTGCAGTGTAGGCCCCAGGGTGCCCCATTTCCGTCCACCTAGGGGCCTCTGACTCCAGCAAGCTACGTAGGGGTCCACTTCTCTCCCTGGACTTGCAGTATAGGCCCCATAGTGCCCCCTTGCCCTCCACCTAGAGGCCTCTGACCCCAGCATGCTACCCAGGGGTCCACCTCTCTCCCTGGACTTGCAGTAGAGGCTCCAGGGTGCCCCCTTGCCCTCCACCAAGGGGTCTCTGACCCCTGCAAGCCACCCAGGGGTCCATATCTCTCCCTGCACTTGCAGTATAGGCTCCAGGGTGCCTTCTGCCCCTCCACCTAGGGGCCTAAGACCCCAGCAAGCTACCCAGGGGTCCACATCTCTCCCTGGACTTGCAGTAGAGGCTCCAAGGTAACCACAGACTCTCAACATAGGGGCC